GAATATACATGGTCGTTTTTTTTGGCTACAAACGCCTTACTATACATGGTCGCTTTTTTAGGCAAAAAACGCCTTACGATACATGGTCGTTTTTTTCGACTTACTATCAGCTAAAAACGCCTTACTATACGTGGTCTTTTTTTTTTTTTTACTTACTATTGCCTAAAAACACCTTACTATACTATGTCGTTTTTTTCGGGCTAAAAACGCCTTACTATACATGGTCGTTTTTTTCGACTTACTATCAGCTAAAAACGCCTTACTGTACATGGTTGCTTTTTTTTTTGGGCTAAACAAGCCTTTCTATACATGGTCGTTTTTTTCGACTTACTATCAGCTAAAAACGCCTTACTATACGTGGTCTTTTTTTTTTTTTTACTTACTATTGCCTAAAAACACCTTACTATACATGGTCGTTTTTTTCGACTTACTATCAGCTAAAAACGCCTTACTATACGTGGTCTTTTTTTTTTTTTTACTTACTATTGCCTAAAAACACCTTACTATACATGGTCGTTTTTTTCGACTTACTATCAGCTAAAAACGCCTTACTATACGTGGTCTTTTTTTTTTTTTTACTTACTATTGCCTAAAAACACCTTACTATACATGGTCGTTTTTTTCGACTTACTATCAGCTAAAAACGCCTTACTATACGTGGTCTTTTTTTTTTTTTTACTTACTATTGCCTAAAAACACCTTACTATACATGGTCGTTTTTTTCGACTTACTATCAGCTAAAAACGCCTTACTATACGTGGTCTTTTTTTTTTTTTTACTTACTATTGCCTAAAAACACCTTACTATACATGGTCGTTTTTTTCGACTTACTATCAGCTAAAAACGCCTTACTATACGTGGTCTTTTTTTTTTTTTTACATTTGTGCTACGCTTTCCAATCTGACGTCATTTGTATGGAGCAATGGATATTAACTTCCACTTGCCGTGAACCAATTTTTCAAACGATCCTTTTGTGATTAGTGGAGCTTTGGCTCCCTCTTGTGGAGAGCAGTGGAGTGACTGGCAAAACCTACTGCATGTGATGAATGACATGATGAATTGTACGACCTGCGATTGGCTGGCAAGCGGTCCCGGGGTGTACCAGCCCCCTCTCTCACCCGACGCCGGCTCAGATCGGCTCTCCTGCGACCCTGAGGACAAAAGCGCTCTCACAAGAATTTAAATGGATGAATACGGTATACGGCATGTACCGTATGACACAAATAAAGACACGAAGGCATGACGCTGCATGGAAATGATTGGCATCGAATGACAATACGTACAGCGCGACATACAAGAAATATGAAATGTGATGAAATAAAATACAAACAGTGGCACGCCTTTACCGCTGTATTACAATTGACACACCATCGTGCAGCCAAACCAAAGAAATGCAAAAGACGCCCCACCCAACCAAACAAACATACAAAAAAAAAAAAAAAAGATACAGAATTTGGACTTAAATCGACAAGTGATTTGCTATTTATTTTTCTCTGAATGTTCTGAACACCTGCTTTCATGCAAGTCATAGAGCAGGATAATTATCCAGAGGAGTTGTGACATAGCTTTAACTAAGGCGTATTAGTGCCACCCTGAAAACAGAACATTTATTTTACGATGAGGATGAAGGTCATATTTTCAAGAACAATTGCATTTCTTTTGAGAGAAAATGCAATATCTTTCTGAATGAATGTCTTAATTTTACAAGAAAAAAGTAAAGGTACAGTAGTATCTTTTAGATCAAAGAGTGGTATGTTTTTTTGGGGGGAAAAGAAAGTAGTGTACGTGAGATTTTTTAAAAGTCCTTTTTGAGAAAGTAGTCACACATTTTTCCTGATGTCTTTTTTTTCCTCCTTGGATAAAATGTCAACACATTTTTAATCTCACCATCAGGTATATGCAGCACCAGCCATCCCTGTGTATAGCAAAAGTGGACGGCGTGACAGAGAGACAATGTCTTGCCGCCGCCCTTTAATCCATCTGAACAAATCAATAAGGTTCATACAGAAGGAGACTGCCTTTTGTTGGGTCATATTTTCCAGACAGTGTGACGGATTTCTCAAGGATACAGAACATATATCGCTGTGCGGGTTTGCTCATATCCGTTTCCTTCAGGTAGGAGATGACCTCCAGGGCGGGCTGCCTCACCATCACGGCTGGATACAGAATTTGGACTTATTTTATTCCAAACGGCACTAACAAACCACAATATCGAAACAATATGTTTCACAACAATCCAACCACAATACATTTGCGAGCCATCTTTTGGCCCGCCTGACAAATTCAATGATCCCGATCGATCTCATTTACCGCGTAAGCGGCCTCTGACCGCGCCGAATAAGAGAATTCCAGGGAGATCCAATCTTGAACAATTTGGAACAATAATCATCAACGGTTCATTTCCGAACGCAAACTTTTGTCGGAATGAGCCAATTCTCTCATCGTGACGACACAAAAAAAGAAATGTGTGTATCTGTGCATAAATTGCAAAGTAAAGGCAGAAATACTGTATCAACCCCCCCCCCACTCCCAATCGTCGCTCCCTTGACAGAAAAACGTCCTCCAATGTGTTCTGAAGATTTCAGCAAAAGTAATTCAGTCTAAAAATAGACATCGTTAGGGCGGGGGGTGGGAGGGAGGTGGGAAACAGACGGCGGAGTGAAGAATAGGGACCAAAGTAGCCGAAACTAATTTTTGTTTTTTTTCTATTTGAAGATTTGGGATGCTTCCCTAAGCCGGATGTCATTTTTCAGCACAGGGGGGCCGGTCACAAGCTAAGCCCCTAACGAGGGGCCCTTTTGTGGTTCCGTCCCTGAGGGCCAAATGAACGACCGAGTCAGGAAGGTCGGGGGGGCGAGCAAGGTCGCGCCTCAGCTTTCCGAGTGCTGAGTAAGACGGCGTCAGCACATCAGCGGGAGAAAATCCAGCTGAGGGGTTTGGGAATTTTCACGCGGAGTCGTGCTGAGCAGACTGCCATTGTTGCTGCGGGGGGGGGGGGCAAGGGGGCACGAGACAATCCAGGGAAACATCAAACTGGGGGCAGGGGGAGTGGCCCTCGAGGGCCGACGTTGGACACCGGCGGCTTCGGCAAAAGTGGAAAAAAACAGGCAAATTGTCACACAAATGTGAACGCGACAGTGTGAAAGCAGTAGTCGTCTCTGCGGCCACACGCGAAATAAATAAAATGAACAAAGAAGTCAAAATATTACAAGAAAAAAAAAAAGATGTAGTGTTACATACAGTCATCCTTTTTTTTCCCCCCAAAGGAAAAAAAAATGTAGGGCCACACTGAAAAGGAAAAAGTTAGCATAACGCACAAGAAATAAGTAAGTAAAAAAGTCTGACTTTTTTTTAAGAGGTGGGCTGCACTGAAAATAAAATAACTGTAAATCATGAGGACGTGAAAAGTTGCATTTTGAAACAAGATGAAAAATAATTAAACCGTAAAAGTCGTACTTTTTCAAGACGTTGGCAATTTGAATGTTGTAAAAAAAAAAACATTGTGAAAATAAAGTTTTAGGCTTAACATGAATAAATTAAAAATTAAATTACATTTTTCTATTAATTATTTTTCAAATTAATTTAATTTAAATTAATTAAACTATTCAATTATATCCCGAGAAAAAACATTTCCCAGACTGAAAAGGAAAAAAAAAAAGTACAATTCAAACAGTTCAAAAATGTGAATAACGTTATGAAAAAATAAATTAAAAAAAGAAATATGGTTTCAACATGGTGACCGTGTTTCCGTAATATTTTCCTTTCAATGTGGCCCTGATCCTCCTTGGCACATTGAAGCATCATGTCAAAACGCTTGATTACTTTGCGCGCGCGCGTTTGCGTGGACGCCAACGTTGGCCAAAGCGCAAAGCCGACTTGAAAAGTCATTGCAGGTCCTCATCTGTAGCACTGTGGTGGTCCGATAAGTCAATTCGAATAACATTCATTCAAATTCAAGAGAACTCGCCCTGCCCATAATTGCACGGTGAAAATAATTATGTCTGCTGTCAAGTGCTACAAAAAAAAAAAGAATAAAAAAGCTATCCCCCCCAAAAAACTCGTTGACTTGGAAGCCGGAGTGGTTCGGAATTGTTGGACCACCTCTGCGTCCCCCC